GTGGCAGTGAGGAAGTGGCGGTGAGTCCAGTGGCAAGCTCTAAAAGCCTGAGCAGATGACCCAAAGATTGGTGCTTTATTCTTGAGGAGGACATGTATGTGTGTGTCTGTGGTCAAGGAAAGCCAGTTTCCAATCCAGCTGGTTTCCCTGGCAATTGCTTTTATTTGTTTTCCACACATTTCCTCCCTTCCAAGCAACTACTAAGCCTTCTTCTTTGCCTTTTCCTGTGGCTGCCATGTAGCAGGCATTAATGACTTTCCTTTTGTTTTGTTAAACAAAGTGATATAGTGAAGCAGCAATGCATCTACCTAACATGGTGCACATAATACCACCAATTTATCCTGTTTATCTAGAATAGTGCTGCATCAATGGGGAAAATGAAAATAAAGGAGGGGGGTTGTACTGTCCATTAAAATGTCACAACCCACCTGATCCATCACAGGGTTGTTACCCCAGTTCCACTTGGGTGTGAATTAACCATCCGCACAGCTTACATAACAGGATACACGTACAGTAATTAGGAGCACACTGAATCATGCAAAAACCACACACACACACAAAACAGAAGTCCTAGCAGTGTGCCAGAAAGGGGCAGCGCAGCTCTAAAAAGGGGTGGGATGAAGTGCCTTAAGTCCAAACACGTGTGGACACCGTCATTTTGATTCAAACCAAACCGCACCAAAAATGATCTTCAGCTTAACAGCAAGATTGATTGTACATCACTTCCACACAGAAGATTAAAGTTTTGCAAAGGCTGTGCTGGCTTTAGAGATGTGTGAAGTCATGACATCGTCAAGGAGAACACAGCAGGAGACAGTGCTGTCAAGATAAATGAGTGTGTCCACTGCAGTAAGGGATTGTTCATATCTCTTCGGAACTGGTTTTTCGTAGTAGACACCTGGAGCAGGTTGGTACATCTCCACCATCTTACATCTGTTGTTCAGGTTGAAATTGTCACCGGTGGAAGAGAACAAACAGATCAGGACTTCCTAAAATCTCATTTTCTAGAGTCATAAGCTTTTGACTTCACTCTTAAGGCAACTGCACTTCTGGCACCAAGTACCACCATGTAAGGTACTTGCCCTTCTGTTTTGGCTCCATACTTTAGCATTGGTAAGGTGCTTTATTGGTAGGAAATGAACAACTTGAAACTGCTGGTAGTTTGCTTCACTGAACTAATACAACAGTCTAAGATGAATTTAGAAAACAGTGTGTATATCTATGACGCATCTATTTGGAATAAAATAGAATGCAAATCAGCTATTGCCTAGCAATGTAAACAAATAAAATTTAATTTTAAATTAAAATTAATAACTTAAAATGTGTGTAAAGAAGCACATTTTCCCCCAGGTACACCCTGTTCTGCAGTATGTTAGCTACTAATTCTTCAATTATTGCTTCCACTATTAACTCTTTTATCGCTTTGTCCTGCTGACATTTTGTTCTATTATACACCGTTTTGGAGACAAGTGGGCAAGTTGTATAAACACTTTTTAAAAATCGAAGGAATAAATGGAGGAGCAACTACCTGCCCACGTCCATTCTTCTTAAACAGCATTGGCCACGCTGATAAATAAATAAATAAATACATTTTAAAAAATGCTTCCTCTCGTTCACAAAGTCTTGGTAAAGTCCTCTGGTTCCCCCGAACCATCCCTCCTAGGTAATGGTACAGTCCGGTTTATAAGAAAGTGAAAGGCATGTAAGCGTCGATCTTAAAGACACGCCGCA